ATTAAGAATCCCACAGGTTTTGATATGATGTGCTTCTATTTTCATTTGAGTCACAAAATGTTTAATTTTCATTCTTAATTTATTCATTGACCTATTGGTTGTTTAGGAGCATGCTGTTTAATTTTTATGTATTTGTATGCTTTCCCAAATCCCTCTTGTTATTAATTCCCAGTTTTATTTCATGGTAGTTAGAAAAGGTACTTGATATGAGTTCAACTTCAAAAATTTGTTGACATCATTGTGTGGCCTAACATATAGTATATCCTGGACAGTGTTCCGTGTACTAGTGAAAAGATTGTGTGTTTTGTAGCAGTTGGATAAAGTGTTTTACAAATCTCAGTTATGTCCTTTTGGTCTAGAATGCCGTTTAACTCCTTTGTTTCTTTGTTGATTTTCTGTCTGGATGACTTGTCCATTGTAGAAAGTGGGTTGTTAAAGTTCCCTAATATTATTTATTGCTGTCTACTTCTCCCTTTAGATTTATTAATGTTTATGTACTTGGCTACTGCATGTTGGGTGCATATATATTTATTATTGTTATATCATCTTGCCATCTTGCTGAATTGATCCCTTTATCATTACGTGATAACCTTTTTGCCTCATTTTACAATTTTGACTGGAAGTCTGTTTTGTCTGATATAAATATAGCTATTCCTGCTCATTTTTGGTTTCCATTTGCATTGAGTGTCTTTTTGCATCTCTTTACTTTCAGTTTACATGTGCCTTTATAGGTTACATGAGTTTCTTGTAGACAGCATATAATTGAGTATTTTTAAAAAATCTATTCAGCTATTCTACATCTTTTAATTTTTTCCATTTACATGCATTGTTATTATTGCTAGATAAAGACATACTTGTGCCATTTTGTTACTTGTTTTTTGGCTGTTTTATTTATTTACTTACCTATTTATTTGAAACAGTGTCTCACTCTCTTGCCCAGTCTGGAGTGCAATGGCACAATCTCAGCTCACTGCAACCTCTGCCTCCCAGGTAATTCTCATGTCTAAGCCTCCCAAGTAGCTGGGATTACAGGAATGTGCCACTACACCTGGCTGATTTTTGTATTTACAGTAGAGATGGGGTTTTGCCATGGTGCCCAGGCTGGTCTTGAACTCCTGGGCTCAAGTGAGCTGCCCACCTTAGCCTCCCAAACTGCTGAGATTACAGGAATGAGCCACCACGCCTAGTTTTTTGTTTTTATTTTATTTTATATTGTTTTGTTTTGACAAGGTCGCTGGCTGTCAACAAGTTTTGAATGCATTGATGTGATCATAGCTAACTGAATCCTTTAACTCCTGGGCTTAAGTGATCCTCCTGCCTCAGCCTCCTGAGTATCTAGGACTGTCGGTACATGCCATCATGCCCAGCTTTGATTGTTTTTAATTCTGTTCTTCCTTCCTTCCCATCTTCCTTTGTGGTTAAGTGATTTTCTCTGGGAGTGTGTTTTAATTACTTTCTTTTTATTTTTAATATGTCTATGACAACCTTTCGTTTTGTAGTTACTATGAGGCTTACAAAAAATCTTAGAGCTATAACAAGTTACTTTAAACTGATGGAAACTTAACATTCAGCACAAAGAAAGGAAGCCAATAAAAAAAGTTTAAAACTCTGCACTTTTACTCCATGCCTCCCGTATTTTGACTTTTTGTTGGCACAATTTACATCATTTTATATTGCCCATCTCGTAACAAATTGTTATCATTAGTTTTGGTAGCTTTGTCTTTTAGTCTTCATACTAAAGATACTGTGATTTACACACCACAATTGCACTCTTAGAATATTATAAATCTGTCTGCGTACTTACTCTCACCTATGAGTTTCATACCTTCACATATTTTCTTGTTGCATGTTAGCGTCCTTTCCTTTCAGATGAAGAAATCCCTTTAGCATTTCTTGTAAGACAAGTCTGGTGGTGATGACTTCTTTAGCTTTTGTTTGTCTTTGGGTTTTATCTCCCTTCATGTTTGAAGAATAGATTTGAAGAATACAATTGAAAATAGTATTTTCAATTGGCAGTTATTTTCCTTATGCCCCAACTTTTACAGCTTCCACATGAAGGACAGCATCCTAAGCCTCCTGGCACTAACAGTAAAGGAAACTAGGCATATGTGTTTCTCTAGGTCACAGAACAAAGATGGGATTTCCATAGAGTATGCTTTCTGGGTGTAGTGCCCCAAAAAAAAAGGCTGGAATGCACAGCCCCAATTTTTTTCTCCAGAAGGGGTTTATTGCACTTTTTTTTTTTGGACAGAGTCTTGCTCTTGTCACTTAGGCTGGAGTGCAATGGTGTGATCTTGGCTCACAGCAACCTCCCCCTCCTGGGTTCAAGCAATTTTCCTGCCTCAGCCTCCTGAGTAGCTGGGATTACAGGCACCCACCACCACACATGGCTAATTTTTGTATTTTTAATAGAGACAGGCTTCACTACGTTGACCAGGCTGGTCCCGAACTCCTGACTTCAGGTGATCCACCCGCCTCGGCCTCCCAAAGTGCTAGAATTACAGGCATGAGTCACCATACCCAGCCTATTGCACATTTTTTAAGTGGCTACTTGGCAGCTTGACTTCCATTGAACTTGTATTGGTGAGCCAATGGGGTAGACAAACAGTAACCCTCCAAAAGCCTGAGCTGAAGGATATCACCTCCTGAGCCTTTCCTCTAGCTCCCTCCAGTGATTATTCCAAGTCTACCCATATTTTTTAGAGGTAGTTGATCCACACACCAACTGCCACAACTTGTGTAGTGCTCATAGAAGGGACTGTCTCTTTAATGACCTAGCCTGGGAATCAATGGGGCTGTGCATTTCTGAGTGGCCCTAGACACTGGAAACAAACTGGCAAATATACAATTGGGCCAACTTCTAGTAGCTCTCTCCCCACAAGAGTACAACCTAAACACTAGTAGAGGCATTTGTCACAGATTCCCTCCCTGGCTTAGTGCAGAGAATGGGAGATAAAGGTTCACACTCAGCTTCACCATCATGATAGAAGAAACTGAAATATACATCCAACACCCCCACATTTCCAGCTACATATAAAGTGTTTGGATTCTACCTTACTTGTCTTGGGGTCTTGACAGGACATGGCACATTCTAATCTCCAAGGGGCCACTAAAAACAGAGACAATAGTTTGGACAGACACAAGTAATTAGGAGTCATCTTAAGATCTCTGACCAAGTGAATTGGCAAGATTATTCTCCTTCACTCATTTAGATTTCACTTGAGAAAAGTTAACATTGCATAGTCAGGGCAGAAGTCATCAATCTAGATGCTAAATATTATATACATGTCTTTCAACATATTCCAGGTTATTTTTTTTTCCATATGTGATATATTTTTCTAAAAAATCAGTTGCATTCAGTTCCAGGATACTCTTGTGCGATAAGACTTCCTTGATTCATTTGAACAAAACTGTGCCATTCTCCTTCAGCCACATTTTGTTCTGCTCAGTGTTTCTTGTCAACATCTACTCCATAGGCATAGTCCTGGTCAGAAAGTGAAAAACTCATTTCTGCCCAAGAGTACAAGAAGTGACCTGGCATTGCTGCCAGATAGCAGCAGAGTTGAAAAAGGCCAGTACAGTAAGGAAGATGGCAAGCCATCAAATACCAAAATCTATCTTTCATCCTTCCTTCCCACTGAGGCTATGTCTCATTTCTACCTCTTTGTAAGATATCCACCCACACCAGCAACTCCCAACTGTTATATTGCCACATAAAATACCCATGTTACAACGTACCTTGTTCTCTTAACTAAAATTTCTTCATTCTAGTCCCTGCCTTTCTCTTAACCTTATTACAATGATCACAAGTTGAAGAGGGAGAATAGTGTAAGATCAAGTCTGCAAGTTAAACTATAGTCCTGATACTGGAAATCCACAAACAGAAAATCTGAATTATAGATAAGCAAAGATTCAGATTCTGAAGCACTCTTAGATCTTGGGCATCTAATATCTTACCAATATTTAATCAAGAAAGAAGCAGGCAGATGACAGGGGTGCAGGAGGTGGGGGCAAGCAAGATAGAAGAATAACTTTTATTAAATAATGACTTAGTACCAAAAACATGACTGACATTATTAATTGATCCATATAACAAATATGTGTTGGGAGTTTAGTTCTGCCACTGAACTGTAAAAGCATTATTCCTATTTTATGCCTAAGGAGTCAGAGCTACAGATACAAAAAGTAATTCACCCAGTGTCCACAGGATTTCAACTCAGATCTATACAAGAAAAGCTCATGTTCATTCTCATATGGCAAAGAGCACAAGGAAGTAAAATAATTTAAGAGACAAGAAAGATCAGAGGAAGACAACATTCAGGAAAAATTATGTAGCCCCATAATATCGTAAGTCTTCCAAAAAATCATTTTAATTCAAATTATATTAGCCAACAATGTTTGAATATACTTTATAGACAATAAGTTTTTTCACAATATTTTATTTACTCATCTACCAATAAAACTTTTCTAGGAATTCAACAATAAACCAACATTAAAAGCTTTCTAGCATAAATCACCGATTTCCAAGATAGCCACAGGCCATCTTCAAAATACCTTTATTTTTATTATTTGAAAAGGTTTGTGGTTATGTTTCCTTAAAATGCTGTTTAATTATATATGCTGACATTTTTATAGGTGAAATGATTTGATGTCTAGGATTTTCTTCAAAATAATATAAGGGTACAGAAGATACATGATAGGTCATCAGTTGATAACTGGTGAGCTGGGTGACAAATACACAAGATTGTTTTACTTCTTATTCTTTTATTTTTTATTTATTTATTTATTTTTGAGATGGAGTCTCACTCTGTCGCCCAGGCTGGAGGGCAGTGGCACGATCTCGGCTCACTGCAAGCTCCGCCTCCCAGGTTCACACCTTCTTCTGCCTCAGCCTCCCGAGTAGCTGGGACTACAGGTGCCCGCCACCACGCCCAGCTAATTTTTTGTTTTTAGTAGAGACAGGGTTTCACCATGTTAGCCAGGATGGTCTCGATCTCTTGACCTCGTGATCCACCCACCTCGGCCTCCCAAAGTGCTGGGATTATAGGCGTGAGCCACCACACCCAGCCTACTCCTTATTCTAAATAGTAAAAAATCTATCACCATGTTTGGGTATAAGCTTTCTCTCCAAGGAAACATTAAATATATTTTTCAGCACTTTTTCTATTTCTTCCTCATTCAGAGTCTTGAACTCTATCAGATCTGTATTGTCCTTGTAATTGAATCTCCTATAGGTGAGGGTGCAGCCCACTAAACAGTGAACCCCATCTGGGGTCTGCAAAGAACAAAATGATTTGCTAGTAAACACAGATGCTGGAGAAGTCTGCAGGTATGTATTCATAGACTCAAAATCTTCAATTGTTCGAGGCTCAAGAGTAAAGGAGTAGATTTTTCGGTATTTGCTGTCTTCTAGGAGATCAGAATTAAGAAATTCTTTATTTGGAATGTACTGGTCTCTTCTGATTTGGTCTAGATACCAGAATCCATTCTCTTCCGTCAAGCGGAAGATGCAAGGCACCTGAGGTTGATCCTTCCCAGAAATTAACTCCAGAGGCTGCCACATCTGGTATGAGCGTCCAAACCCAGCATCGACAATGTAGTTCCTGCCATCAATGGTCACCTGCAGGAGAAGGTGAATCATGCCAGTGCTGTACTTTTTGGCTGGAGTGCTGTAAACATACCCTCCCAACATCGTGGTCTCAAAACCCATAGTGGTCAGAGCCCAGTACAGAAGATGATTGACCTGGAGACACCACCCACCCCGATTTCTTCTCACGACTTGATCAAAAATGGCCTCTAAGCCTAAGTCCATGGCTTCCCCACAATGGATGTTAAGGTTCTCAAAGGGAACAGCTCGGATCTGGTGCTGAAGAATGTCAGTTAATGTTTCCAAGTCCAATTTGTTTCTGGACTTCTTATAGCCAATTCTTTCAAGATATGCTTCAATGTCCATGATGCCCTAAGCAAGGAAAACAAAACGAAAGCAAATCATATTACTTTTACACTTGGATTTGAGTAGGCTAATTATGGCTATATTTTAAATATGTAAAAATACAATGGTTATAAGCATAATAATGATTTCTAGTGCTTTTATTATATAAATTCCTTTTACACACATAAGTTCAGTTAATAGTCCCAGAATCCTGTAAGAAATGTATTATATCTTCTTTCAAGTGTGAGAAGTTGGAAATCAAGACTAAATGATGGTCAAATGATAAACACCTTGTTCATGGTTCTCTTGGTGATTAACAAAAGAGAGATTCCAATTGGTATTTATTAAAATAGGCTTACAAACATCTTCTGATGCAGGCAGGAGAATCATGCAATAGAGTGTATAGTATCTGTGGTACCTGACCCACTCAATTTCCCTTTTAGCTGAGGCTTATACAAAGTTTCCCACTCAAAGAACTGTATTGATTCACTCATCCATTGATTGATTAACTCAAGAAACAGTTTACTGAATAGCTATAATGTGTTTCCTACTGATCTAGTGCTTGTTTACTCTCAAAAATCTTATAGTGGGAGTTGGAGTGACATACATAGGAAACTGAATACGTGGATAAAACATGCAGTCTGTTAGATTGTAGTAAGTGCCCTGGGAAAACTAAAGAAAGGATTTAGTAAGTGCACAGGGAGAGCTCCAATTTCAAATTAGTTGGTTTAAAAAAAAAAAAACAAAACTCAGATTTGAAGCATGCCAGAGAATAAGGCCTAAGGATATGCATGAGGAGGATTGTTCCAAGCAGGAGAACAGAAAATAACAAGGCCCTAGGCTGGAAAATGCCTTGAGCATTCAAAAAACGTTCAGGAAGCCAGGGCAGTTGGAGCACGTGAGTGAGAAGGAGAGTGGATTGAGATGAGATCTGACAGGCAACTGCAGCCTTGGAGCTAAGACTGGCATTTTGGCTTTTACTCTAAGTGAAGTGAGAAATGTAAATGAGAGAGGCCTGAGAGAAAGGTTGTGATTGAGCAATGTTTGCTACAATCAAAGTGATCTTTCTGGCTACTGTATAGAGGATAGGCTGCCCATATTGCGCCTTATGGACAGTCACATGAACTAGGTGGAACCAATTTGAACACATATGCTCTACGACCAGTGCTCAACTCATGGACAACATATGCCCTGTGTAGAGCTGAGACTTCATTGAGGAACTGTTGCTGAAACCTCAGCGTGTACATTCTGCTACAAGGTAGAAGCTGGGGGGTATTCATTCAAAGCTATTGGTGAGAACCTATTGAAGAACAACACTAACAAAGGGTTCACCAAGTTTACCAAGAAATGAAAAACAAGAGAAGGTAGAATGAGGAAACACCTCAATGAAGCCAAAAGCTATCTTTTAACTTTCATGCAATGTGAACCAAAAAAAAAATAAATGCCCCTTATTTTGTTACATCTTTTAGAAAAGGTTTTTTAAACCTGCCATCATGGAGTCTTAATGTTTTGAGACTCTGATTGTAACAGTGCTGTACAGGCCTCAGGTATAACTCTTTTGTAATGTGGTATGGCCTGAGGATGACCTTGTAAAAGGGAGCTGCCGCCAGTTGAATGATAATGAGTGAAGCATCTCTTATTTTCCCTTCTCATAACATTTCTTCTATATTCTCCTATTTTTCCTTTCTGACCCAGCTATCCTCCCCATATTGCCAGTTTCCAACTTTCTCTGTTCTCGATGTCGACAACGTCATTTCTCCTAAATCTATTAGATTGCATTTCTTCTCATCCTAACTTCCACCAGCACCCTTTCTTAACATTTGGTCAAGCTCTAAAGTTCTACCACTCAGAGAGAGAACAAGTTGTATTTAGTCAGACCTTGCCAACCCCTCTGTGCCTCTAACCTAGAATTTGTACTGAGTACGTAAAGAAGAGAGAGAAGCTGATCCAAAAGGAAGAAGGCAGTTTATACATACCTGGACATTTGATTCTTGCTTAGAATATCATTCCTTCTATTAAGAAATTCCTTTATATCTCTTTTATTTGGTATAACTTGTTTACAAGCATTTGTTTTCCTCTTTTTTCTTTCTTTCTCTCTTGTACTCGCTCTGTTCCCTTCCCTCCATCCTTCCCCTCCTTTTCTTAATTTTTAAGATAAGGTGTTGATTTGGAATTTAGCAACTGCAAGTCCATTTGAAAGAAGTCAGTTTTGTTAGAGGCCTGGATAGAGCAGTATGTTGTAACCAAACCACACTTGAACATTCTGTGGCTGAACATAAGAAATTGTGCATTACTAACGCTGTGCTTCAAGGTGGAATGCTGAAAGCACTTGGAAAGTAGCTCAGGAAAAGAGCTCACTGAAAATACTATTAGCTTTATATATCCACTTGTAAATGTGCAGTGATACGTCCCTCCCTCCCTTTCATCTTGATCATAAATATAAGATTTAAAGGAGGCGAGTGAACGTGCTTAGGAAGCCTACTGAGAGCTCTCAGAAAGGCGCTTAATACCTTTCTTAGTAAGCTGAAAGTAGGTTGAGCTTCAGTTTTAATCCAGAAGACAGAATGCTGCTTCTTCCTGGCTTGAATTCTAGAAATAAGAGAAAAGACAGTTAGAAATATGTAACATGACTTCCTTGAAAACAAAATAATAGTTTTGTAGACCACAAATTATGAAGATTTCCTAAAAATCACAAAACAGAGGGAATGGACTGCACAGTAAAGCGAACATTTGAGTTGTATAAGAAAGTGTGTGGAAACTATAACTATGGAGATGGGAGCAACGCTGATGGGGTTAGAGCCTTCTGGCTTAAGAACCTGGAAGCTGGGAAAGCCACCAGGAGCGGGGCTTCCACACTCCAGAGACAACCCACCAGCTGATGAACTGCCATGAGATCAGCAAGGAAGGCTGAACCAGGCTCCATGCCCCCAATCACTGCCATGACATACACCAAACACATCAAAGACCAGGACGTAGTGCCAGCACCCGGTCTTCCTCTAGGTACAACTATTATTGGGCGTGTTGAGGCAGATAAAAAAGGTAAGGCTCTTAATGTATGATGCTACTCAGAAGAAAGAAAGACCATCTACATACAGAAGATCCACCATCAGCGCATCTCTTGTCATAGTCACCTCCCCTCACCTCCACTAAAAAAAATTGAGGAGTCTGTGAAAGGAAATTAAATTGTGGGACCCCCAAACTCATTTAGCCAAAAGGAAAAGTCAAGCTGGTAAGTGCGTCATGTAAATCTGCCTCCCCCTTTCTTGGTTCCTGAATAAGATGGCTACAAGATGAAAAGCCACACACCTCCCCCATGTTTTGCCCACAAGGAAACTCCTAGTGAGCTGTTAAAACTTCACCATAACAAACAAATTGGGAGACATTAATATAATAATGAACCATGAGCTTACAGCTGCCTTAATTGACACAGACACAACTATATCTCTGATCAATCCCACCTTATTTAGAAACCCCATTCCTCAGAGTAATGAAAGAATTACCGTGGTGGCTGCGTCTAACAAAATGATCTCTTGTTTTAAGTCCAAACCTCTACCTTACCATTCCATCCGGTTTGGCTCCCCCGCCACAGGCTCTAAGAGTATGTGACATGCTCAGTAGGTACCATACATTTCTTAGATGCCCTGGGGCCCCTGTCAGTCTTTTGAGCCGTGATCTCCTCAACATCCATAATGCCCATACCTCTTTTTCATCAAAAAGTGAACTTTTTTTTAGAATGGGGGCCAGGAGACCAAAAATACCGAATTACAAAATGTCCGGACGACGTACCACAATTTAGTACTAGTAATGTTGAAACATCATCTTGTGGCCGGGAAAATGAAATGGAGACACAGAAGGAAGTAATAGGGGAGAAGAGAAAACACTGGAATAAAGAGCAGGAAACAGTAAAACTGCTTTTAGCTTCCCCAGTCTTCCTGCTAACACCAGAAGAGGATGCTTGCTCAAGGATGTCCCCTCCCAGTTATGGTCTCAGTCAATACAGACATAGGGAAAGTATTCTCAGCCACTCCAATAAAGGTAGAGATAAACCCAAAGAAACCCCTACGCAACCTTAAACAATACCCTCTATGACAGAAAGTAGTAAATGGAATTGCCCCTATTACACAAGGTTATCTAAAAAGAGGCTCATTATTCCCTGCACAAGCCCCTGCAACAGCCCTATATTCCCTGTAAAGAAACTGAGCAGGAGAAAATGGAGATTCGTGCAGGACTTGAGGGCAATAAACAATATTGTAATAGCCAGTCACCCAGTAGTCCCCGACCTACATACCATTCTATCAGGTATACTTACTACCAGCCAGTATTTCTCAGTTGTGACTCTGCAGTGCCTTTTTCAGTATTCCTGTAGATCCAGACAGCCCGTATTTGTTTGCTTTTACTTGGAAAGAATGGCAATATATGTGGGCTGTAATGCCCCAAGGGTATACAGAAAGTCCCACTTACTTTTCCCAAATACTAAAAACTGATTTAGAGGATTTAATTTTTCCCCAGGGCTCAACACTCATTCAGTACGTGGATGACCTTCTCCTTTGTCCAGGTCCAGAATCTTCCTCCCAGGAAGATAGTCTATATTTACTCAGCCAGCAAGGGTACAGAGTCCAAAGACAAACTTCAGCTGTGCTTACTGCAAGTTAAGTATTTGGGGCATATTATCTTGGTCAAAGGACTGAGTATTAACCCTGATAAAGTGAGAAAAATTTTAGCTTTCCCAATGCCCATCACCAAGAAACAACTTAGAGGATTTCTGGGGACTGGCAGGCTGTTGTAGAAATTGGATACCACATTTCTCCTTTATGGCTCACCTTCTATATGCATACCTAAAAAATGAACAACCCGATCTCATCATGTGGACTCCAGAGGGACAATCGGCTGTATAACAAATAAAGGAAATTCTAACTAATTCCCCAGCCTCATGGCACCCAAACTACAGATTGCCTTTCTCCCTTTTTGTATGTGAAACTGAAGGTACTGCATCCGGGATACTGACACAGAAACATCGTGATCATCAGAGAGCTGTAGGGTATTATAGCCAACAGCTGGTCGCTGTGGCTCGAGGGCCGCCTCCTTGTGTACGAGTAATAACAGCCATCGCCCTTCTGTACAAGTCTGTTGAAGAAATAATTATGGGTTCCCCCCTTACCATTTTTGTGCCACACCCTATTGAGACCCTTCTAAATTCTCATCATACCCAGTATCTGTCTGTCAACTGGTTAGCCTCTTATGAAATTTTGCTTTTATCATCTCCGAATAGTACTATTTCCTGCTCTATAATCTTAATCCAGCCACTCTCTTGCCGGGCCCTTCCGACAACTCCCCTCATGACTGTGTTCTGATGACTGACCAACTTCTCACCCCCAGGACAGACCTCCAAGAGATGCCACTGGATAATGCTGAGATAGAATGGTATACAGATGGGTCTTATTTAAGAGAATAAAATGGAAATTTTAGAGCAGGATATGCAGTGGTTTCCTTACTAGAGGTAACTGAAGCCGGTCCTCTTCCCCAAGCCAGATCGGCTCAAGTGGCCAGACCGACTGCCCTGACTCGAGCTTGTCAAGTGGCAGAAGAGAAGGCTGCACACATTTACACTGACAGCTGCTACGCATTTGGGGTTGCTCATGCCTTTGGGATGCTATGGAAAGAGAGAGGGTATTTAACCTCCTCAGGGCAACCCATAGAAAATGGACAGCAAGTATCAGAGCTGTTACAAGGTATTCTAAAACCAAAACATTTGACAATTATAAAAATCCCAGATCACTCAAAATGAGACACCACAGAGTCAGGGTAACCAATTGGCTGAACCCAGAGCTAAAAGAGTAGCATCTGAGCCACCAGGTATGTTATGTAAAATGCAGAGTCCCTGCATTTTTCCTCTGCCTCTTTTGTTTATGTCATCTTCTGCAAAAAATGCAGATTCACAGAGCCAGACAAAGCCATGAATGACCATTTTCCTCCCAACCCCGCTCTTACATGAAAACTGTGCTTCTTGATACCCCATCCTTTCCCCTTTAAATTTGTAGCCCTCAAAATCATCTTCAGAGAAAGGCATAGATCTCTCTCCCAGGCCCACATCCTTAACTTTGGCAAATAAATCTCCTAAAATGATTGAGATTTGTCTCGTCATTTTCCTCGATTCACAAGTCTACGCCAACCCCAGTTGGACATCTCACCAACTGCGCCAGATTCGAGCAACAAAAAAAAGTTGGAAACAGAGCTATATACACATAAAAATGATGAAAACAAACAAAATGAAAATACTATGAGATTGAGATTAGAAGAAAAGACATAACATGCAGAAGTTATATACAAAAAAACCACAACCAATTTAAGAAGAAAAATAAACTGAAAAAAAATTTTGGTAAAGGTATCTGGGGCTATGGACCATGTAAAATAAACTCAACAACAAACAGCTAAAAATAAAGTGGTAAAATAATAGTTTTATGAAAGGAAAGATTTCATACCTTAGAATACTCATTAAGGACAGAAATGGAACTAATTAATGATCAGAATACATAATTAATGATGAACAGAAAGGAACTATACAGATACAATGTCATATCACATTGCTTATGTGGAAAGAAAGCTTGATATTCATACTAAAGACTAATTAAATGATAAAGCAGTTAAGATAGAATCTAATAGAAAGCAGTCAAGGACAAGCCAATGCAAAGACAATTGGTGCTTCTGAAGTGGAGAACGCAAAAAGTGCAATAGAAAAATGTATGGCACTATTCACAATAGCAAAGACACAGAATCAACCTAAATGCCCATCAGTGACAGAATGGATCAAGAAAATGTGGTACTTATACACCGTGGAATACGATGCAGCCACTAAAAAGAACAAGATCATGTCTTTCATGGAAACATGGATGGAGCTGGAAGCTATTATCCTTAGCAAACTAACATAGGAACAGGAAATGAAATACTGCATATTCTCACCTATAAGTGGGAGCTAAATGATGAGAATTAATTAACACAAGGAAAGAGCACACACTGGGGCCTTTCACAGGTTGGAGGGTGGGAGGAGGGAGAGGATCAGGAAGAATTACTAATGGGTACTGGGCTTAACACCTCGGTGATAAAATCTGTACAACAAACCCCCATGACACAAGTTTACCTATATAACAAACCTGTACCTATACCCCTGGATTTAAAAGTTAAAAAAAAGAAAAATGTATGTAAAGATAAATATTTTCCTGAAATGATGAAAACATTGAAGCTGAAAAACAAAAGACAAAATTCTGGAAAAGTTCGATTCAACATGTTTGCCCCTGGAATATATTTTTGTTAAATTATTAAAAGTCAAAATTAAAGACAACTGCTCAAGCATCTGGCAGAGAAAGAAAATATTTCATGAAAGAGAAAACATCAGGCCAGCAAGAGAATGTCACACAGAAATATCCATTGGTGAAGTAATAGAAGTATATCTTCAAAGTATTGAAGGGAAAGTGTGTGCTCCAAATATTCTGGCTAGTATTTCACTTGATCAAAAAGGCAACATGAATATAAAGGTAATATCAAACATAAAAGAGCTTGAGAAATGCAATAACTGAGGTGTCCTGATAGTTTCTGTTTCATGGCCAGTGAACAAGCAGATTAATATGAAAACCGAGAAGTAGAGGGGTCACAGTAAGGGAGTGCTGGTGAACACTGACTCCTTTCAATACAGAACAAAGAGTAGAAAAGTTATGAGAGTTATGGATTTTGAATGAGTCATTTTGGCTTATATGGAGATAGAAATACGAAGTTAAAAATTAAATCTGGGCTGGGCACGGTGGCTCAAGCCTGTAATCCCAGCCTTTTGGGAGGCTGAGGTGGGCGGATCACGAGGTCAGGAGATCGAGACCATCCTGGCTAACACGGTGAAACCCCGTCTCTACTAAAAAAAAAAAAAAAACACACACACACACACAAAATTAAATCTGAAGATTAAGAAAGACCAGAGTCTAGGAGAGTCCAATCCAGTACTGTCAACACTGGGATTGTTAAAAGATCATTTTTTAGGTATAACGTTTTTTAAAGTTTATTAGACAGCAATTCATGAGTCAGGCAGCACCAGACCACGGGTGGCTCAATGCTCTGCTGAGGAAAGGGGAGGGCAGGAGAGAAACGTTTAAAAACTGTTTGCAGGAGTGAGACAAGGAAAAGCTATTTGGTTGGTTAGAGTGCAGAGTCCCTAGTTAGAGGTTAGTTGACAGTTTCTGATTGGTGAAGTCTCTAGTTTTCTACTGTTTACTGGTAAAGAGTAAAAAGAATGAAAATGAAACCACAGGAGTCACCCAGTCTGATGGCCCCCAATTAAAAGATTTTTAATGGAACATATTCTGGTTAAATTATTGAAATGTAAAGGCAAGACCTATCTAGGTGCAATAAAATAAGGAGGGGTAGCGCTTGAAGGGAACTGGAGAGTGCATTCCCTGTCTAAAGTTTTTTAGACAAAAAAATTGAAAAAAAATAAATATATACATATATGATGACTCAAATGAGACCCCTTAGACCTACTGGGTCTGGGCGCAGTGGCTCACACTTGTAATCCCAGGATTTTGGGAGGCCGAGGCGAGTGGATCACTTGAGGTCAGGAGTTCAAGACCAGCCTGGCCAACACGGTGAAACCCCATCTCTAATAAAAAATTTAAAAAAAAAAAAAAAAAGCCAGGTGTGGTGGCACATGCCTGTAGTCCCAGCTATTCGAGAGGCTGAGGCAGGAGAATCACCTGAACCTGGGAGGCGGAGGTTGCAGTGAGCTGAGATCGAGCCACTGCACTCCAGCCTGAGCAACAGAATGAGACTCTGTCTGAAAACAAACAAACCTATTGGTTTCCACTGTAGGTATGGAAGGGCATAAAATAGAGCCTGCTCAGGGTACCTAAGAGGGAACACAGGGCTGGCTGGCAAGGATTCAGGACTGGGGTTAGTGCAGGAAGAATACTTTCAATAACTTACCTGGATCCCTTCAGATCTCTTTTACCATCTCGCAGTGCCCCTGGCCAGCCTTCTGTGTTCTTCTACTTTAGGACCTGTACCCTAGACTCTCTTTGGAGCACTCCCAAGGGCTCCTGAAGCTGCTTTGCCCTCCTTTGCAGAGAGCTAGAAGTGCCAGGGATTTATGTCCTGCCAGGGCAGTGCTGGATCAATGACTTAGTAGGAGGTCTGGAAAGCCTAGTGCCCTTGCCTTGCGTCTGGACGCACTTCAGAGTTGCAATTCACATCCAGGCTGCAGCTGGGGCTCTCCCAGCACTTCCTTCAGTTTCTCACACATGGATTCTTGTCTTAGTGTCTGGTTTGGGGGAACCTGACTTAAGTCACCTTGGTGGACATTTTGGAGAGCTGTGTAAAAGAAAGGTAAGATACACAGAATGAGGCAACTTCTAGAGGTCCCTGGATGTTGGGCAAAATGCTTGTGTTTTTCTGCAGAGTTCATGAATGTTGTTTAGTTGAATGATCAATATTCAACAGTTGACCAACTATTGTGACTTATCCCTACGTGACTTGGCACTTCTATAATAAATCACATTATCGGATGTGGTACCCCTGGAGAGCAGGTTGATACGCAGATCTCATTGTTCAGTTCCAGGTCCCTAGAATCTATATATGTTAAATACACAGCAGTGGTTTTCTTTTTCTTTATCGCTAAAGAAACCTTTATTCTTTCTCTTAAAAAAGTTATAAACAAGAGCCCAACATAGAAGAATTAAAAGCAGATTAACACAGAGGTAGCCTGCCTATGAGATGTTATGCCTTAAGGCTACAATTAGCACAAGTACAATTGTGGACTGAGATAAAATCATCTACACGTGCGCATAGATTTCTGGCATTAATAATTAGAAGAATTATAAGGAGAGCCAATGAGTGGCTTTTCTTATTCTTTCTCTTTTGTCTCTACCACCATGGAAGAAGGGCATGGAATCCCACTAAATTGACACTACAACCTAGCCCCCTCCAAAGCCAGCCTATTGAGTCTCTGGAAGAATAGGGGTTGCTGGAGTAGCCACACCTAAAGACCATCATTCAACAGTTGTTCATGTCCACAAGGCCACTCACTGCTCCCAGTTAATGCCGACTGGGGCCAGGCAGGTAGTGGGGGGTACTTGCAGCAGGCCAGGAAAACACATCTAGAGAAAAACAGCTGCCACTGCTGAAGACGGCAAAGGCCAGACAAAATAAGTCTCTGGGCAGCGTGCAGGTAGAAAGTTGGCAGTTAAAAAGTTCCTTTTGAGGAGGAAGGTGTGGTCACCTGTTCTGAGTTTCAAGCATTCAGGAGCAAACAGTATGTCTGATTTTTTGTTTGTTTGTTTTTTAATTAGAAAAGTACAAACAGGTATACCATTGTAGTGGGCATCGTGTCAGGGCATGGGAGCAGCATCCAGGGAAGAAAGCCCATTGGGCCCTCAGCTCCTGCGGCTGGCTGTCTGGGCCAGTCTCCTCTCTTCTGTGGAATTCTGCAAGTCCATGTTCAGCGGGCGATGCTCTCAGTCTGACAGTGAAGGAGTTAATTTTTTTGTCATTCATGCCTCCTGGAGATCCTCTCCACTAAGCGTCCTTCAGCCGTGATAAAACTTCGTCCCTGGTATGGCGGCTCACGCCTGTAATCCCGGCACATTAGGAGGCCAAGGCGGGTGGATCACTTGAGGTCAGGAGTTTCAGACCAGCCTAGCCAAGATGGTGAAACCCCATCTTTTGCTAAAAACACAAAAATTAGCCAGGGCACGGTGGCGGTGCCCTGTAATCCCAGGCGACTTCAGGAGGCTGAGGTACCCGAAGAATCAGCTTGAACTATCCAGGAGAAGGAGGTTGCAGTGAGCTGAAGATCGTGCCACTGCACTCCAGCCTGGGCAACTGGGCAAGCGTTCTGTCTCAAAAAAACAAAAAAACTTGGCCGGGCGCGGTGGCTCACGCCTGTAATCCCAGCGACTTGGGAGGCTGAAGGCGGCGGATCCAAGGTCAGGAGATCGAGACCCACGGTGAAACCCGTCTTTACTAAAAACAGAAGAAAATTAGCCGGCGCGCGGTGGTGGGCGCCTGTAGTCCAGACTACTCGGGAGGCTGAGGCAGGAGAATGGCGTGAACCCGGGAGGCGGAGCCTTGCAGTGAGCCGAGAATCGCGCCACTGCATCCAGTCGGGCGAGAGCGAGACTCCGTCTTAAAAAAAGAAAACAAAAAAAAACACAAGAAACTTCTCCTCTGGAATTCCCATAGGCATTGCAAACAACAGAAACCAATCTTTCTGGACATCCGGGATCTTTAGGGGCTTTTTATCAGCCAGTGCAAGAGAAGCAGGAATTTTTAGGAGCTTGCTGCCTGTAGGACTAACTGGGTCCTTTGGGACGCACACCACTGGGGACAGAGGAGGGTCAGCATCATCGTTACAAGTAACCAAGAGGGAAATCCTGTTGGGAACGTTGCCTTAAACACATCGGCTATCTTTTAATACATGTATTTAATCCTCACAACTCCTTTAAGTAAGCAGTACTCATAGCTCCATTTTACTGAAAAAGAAACTGAGTTTTAGGGAAACTAAGTGACTAGGCCAAGTTCTCGCAGCTATAAAGCGGCTGTGACTCTAAAGCCAACAGTTTGAATCAAGGACCTGTAACTGTCACCACTATGATGTGGAGTAGTGACAGCATTAGCTTCCAAGTATGTGCCAGTCAGACTTTCTCAACAACCTTATACTTGAAATGTGGACATCGTGTAGAATCTACTCTCCTGTACTCACACTTGACATAGGATTAAACCCCAGTTACAAAGTACGCTGCAAGACCCTTACAGAGTTCCACTTACCAGGTTATTTCAGCCGGCAACCAGGAACCAGACTGAACGCAGTCCTCCTACATCCAACGTCTATGAGGAAGTGCTCTCACTTTCAAAGTCTGCAGGGGAAAGTGCTCTCATTGGATGTCCACGTGGCCCCGCCCCCAGAGTCACCTTAGGGTTACCCCAGGGAGCCCTGGGAAATGTAGTTGCAGGGCCTCAGGTTGCTCCTGTGGACCCCTTATTCATATCTTTCCATTAAAAAAGTGTGGAGAGTTGTACTGTCCGATTATCCCCATGCCACTGGCTGGGAGGACTGTGCCCTTGTATTTCACCTGGTTCCTGCTCTCTGGGAGCCTGACACCAGTTGTCCCATGTGTGATGTGGAACGCGAGAGCTTGGAACAGGTCCAGGAAAAGCAGAACTGGTAACCTAGAGGAGGCAAAAGAGGAAGATGGAAGGCTTTAATCACGCTCCCAGTTTATGGCTTACTTTCTTCATCAATTCCCATTAGGCGTCTTTTAAAACTTTTTCTTCCCTTCATCCATCATCCTCATTCCCACTGGCCTCTCTACCTGAAGGCACTGGGTAATGTGTCTGAAATAGCTCCATGTCTGGGGCATGAGGGTGATATATGTCATATGGCTTTGTTTATGCTGGTGTACTTTATTTACATTCATGTTATTGATCTACAACTCTTGCTGTTTCTTATGCATTTTTCTCTATACAATATAATTTTTGTTTATTCACACATAATGTATATGTTTACAGGGTACAATGTGATGTTCTGATACATGTATACGTTGCGTAATGATCAAATCATGATAATTAGCACATCTATCACTTCAAACATTTATCATTTCTTTGTTTTGAGGACATTCCACCAGTGAGTGTTGCCTTGTACTGTGTTTTCGGCACCTACTGTTGTGGAACATGCCTCTGGCGTCCTGCCGTGTGAACTTGGGACTCTATGGGAAGGCTTTCTCTTGGCATGTCCTCAGGCAAGCTAGACAGACTCGAAAACTAAGGGGCTGGGACCACTACTCAGCCCAGGATGATGGGAGTCGGAGGCTAAATATCTTTGTGCTGTACCTGGTCAGGTGGAATTACTCTTACGCTTGTATAACACTGCCTCCTGGTGTTGTCCAGTGGAATTATGCTCCCTTTGTTCACAGGTAACTTGCCAATAATGCACGCTTTATCGATTCTCAAACTGCCCTGACCTCATTGTCCCACTCTTGCACTGGTGCATCCTTAAATCATCTCCCAAATAATCTACCTGAATGCAAATCCTTGTTTTAGGGTCTGGTCGAAAGCCACTTTAGCTAGGTGGTTGTGAAGTGGACGGGAACTTGGATTCCTCCTGCTGAGGTAGCAGATTCCCCTCTGACCCGGGGTGGGTCTAAATACTCCCTCTGTGGCCTCCAGCGTAGAATCAAGGGCCTTGGAGGCTCTGCCCAGTGCTGTGTTCCACTGCAGTGGGGTCAGTGCTAGGCTCCAGTGCAAAATCCCACACTAACGTTCCTTTTACTTCCTAAGGAGGTAGATTCTGTCTACTGTGCACTGTGCTGCCTGGGCTCGTGAGGATACTTGTTGAACTTGACGTCCCTGCAGGGAAATGAGTACGGGAGAGTTCTATTTGGCCACCTTGTTCCACCCTCTATTTTATTTTATTTTTTTGATGCTATTGTGATGGATTGTGTTTTCCTGATTTCTTTTTCGCATCGATCATTATTGGTGTAAAGAAATGCAACTGATTTTTATATGTTGATTCTGTATCCTGCTACTTTACTGGATTTATTCTAACAAATTTTATGAAGTGTTTTGAGTTTTCTATATGTAGGATCATGTCATCAGCAAATAGAAAAAAAATTTACTTTTTCCTTTTAGGCTTATTTTTTACCTCTTTTTTTTTTTTTTTTTTTTTTTTTTTTTTTTTTTTTGGTTTTTTATTTTAAGTCCTGGGGTACATGTGTAGGATGTGCAGGTTTGTTATATAGGTAAATGTGTGCCATGGTAGTTTGCTGCACCTATCAACCCATCATCTAAGTATTAAGCCCATCATGTATTAGCTATTTTTCCTGATGCTCTCCCCTCCCTGCGCCCTCACCCTCGTCACCCTGACAGGCCCTAGTGTGTGTTATTCCCCTCCCTATATCCATGTGTTCTCATTGTTCAGCTCCCACTTATGAGTCAGAACATGCAGTGTTTGGTTTTCTGCTCCTGTGTTAGTTTACTGAGAATAATGGCTTTCAACTCCACCCATGTCCCTGCAAAGGACATGATCTCATTCGTTTTTATGGTTGCGTAGTATTCCATGGTCTATATGTACCGCATTTTCTTTGTTTGTCAGTGATGGGCATTTGGGTTGATTCCATGTCTTTGCTATTGTGAAAAGAGCTGCAATGAACATATACATACATGTATCTTTATAACAGAATGATTTATATTCCTTCGGGTATATACCCAGGAATGAGATTGCTGGGTCAAATGGTATTTCTGATTCTAGGTCTTTGAGGAATTGCCACACCATTTTCCACAATGATTGAACTAACTCACACTCCTATCAACAGTGGAAAGGCATTCCTATCTCTCTACAGCCTCACTGGCATCTGTTTTTCTTGATGTTTTAATGATCACCATTCTGACTGGCATGAGATGGATATCTCATTGTGGTTATGACTTGCATTTCTCTAATGATCAGTGATGTTGAGCTCATGGATAGGAAAAATCAGTATATTGTGAAAATGGTCATACTGCCCAAAGTAATTTATAATTTTTGTGCTATTCTCATCAAGCTACCACTGACGTTCTTCAAAGAATTAGAAAAATAAACTATTTTAAAATTCATGTGGAACCAAAAAAAGAGCCTGGATAGCTAAGACAATCCAAAGCAAAAAGAACAAAGCTGGAGGCATCACACTACCCAACTTCAAATCATACTACAAGGTTACAGTAACAAAAACAGCATGGTACTGATACAAAAACAGACATATAGACTAATGGAACAGAATAGAGAACTCAAAAATAAGACCACACATCTACAACCATCTAATCTGCAACAAACCTGACAAAAAGAAGCAATGGAGAAATGATTCCCTATTTAATAAATAATGCTAGGAGAACTGGCTAGCCATACACAGAAAATTGAAACTAGACTCCTTCCTTAAGCCTTATACAAAAATTAAGTCAAGATGGATTAAAGACTTAAATATAAAACCCAAAACTATAAAAACCCTCGAAGAAAATCTAGGCAGCACCATCCGGGAAATAGACATGGGCAAAGATTTCTTGATGAAAACATCAAAAGCAATTGCAACAAAAGCAAAAATTGACAAATGGGATCTAATTAAACAAAAGAGCTTCTAAACAGCAAAAGAATCTATCGTCAGAGTGAACAAATAACCTACAGAATGGGAGAAAATTTTTGCAGTCCATCCATCAAAGGTCTAATATCCAGCGTCTATAAGGAACTTAAGTTTACAAGAGAAAAAACAAGCAACCCCATTAAAAAGTGGGCAGAGGACATGAACAGACACTTCTCAGAAGACATTTATGTGGCCAACACACATATGAAAAAAGGGCTTATGTACTTTTTATTTTTTTTTTTCTGGACTAATTGCTCTTGCTCATACATCCAGTCCTATATTCAATAGAAATGGCAAGAGTGGGCATCTTTGCCTTGTAAAGATCTTAGAAGAAGAGCATTCAGTTTTTCCCACGTTAACAGTAAGAAGTTTTTGAGTAGAGGCAAAATGGCTGACCAGATGCAGCCAGGTAAAACAGCTGCCACCAAGGGACCAAGATGACTGGTATACTCCTGGCAGATCTTCAGAGGGAAGGCACTGAGAGTGAACAGAGGGAACACACAGAAGCTGGACTGAGAGGAGGAAATCTGGGAACCCTACACGGGGCTACTGCATACCTGGTCTTGTTCCTGTGCCCCAGCAGCTCCAGGGGAACAGGTGAGTTGAACTGGGATGGAGCAACTGGCTTTCACCACGGGTCTCTGGAACTCCAGGAGAAGGAGACCCTTCAGCCACCAGAGACACAAGTTGGCAGGGAGAGCTGCTTAGAGAACAGGTAGGGGCCTGCAAACTAGCTGATGTAGAGCCCAGAGGGTTTGGTCCAGGAGCATCTGTAGCAGAGCATGGCCAGGGATGGCCATCACCCTAGGCTCAACTTGCTCCCATACGAGACTTTAGCCCTTGGAGAACTGTCAGTCCTGAACCCTGAAGGGTGGTCTAGCCCATCAAATAGGGCCAGTCCAACCTGAGCACCCCTCGGTCTGCTCGCCTCTCCCAGGGCCCCAGCCTGGCCACACCTGCTTGCAGGGCCGCCTCAGGTGCCCTGGGGGCTGCATCATAGCTTCTGTGCTGGCACACTATACCTAACCTGCAAGTAGCTCCAACATGGCGGCCCCCATGCCTACGCACCAGCCTGCATGCCCCCGCTCCACACTGCAGCTTCCCCAGGGCCCAGTGCAACTTCAAGGTCTCTACAAGTCTCCCCTAGATTTTTTTTCATGTAATATCAAAGATGGCAAAAGGAAGGAAGAACAGGCATGGAAGGAAATGGAAGAACAAGTTACAAAGGCAAAAATCACGCCAACAAGAAAGGCACCAAACATAAAAAACTTTTTTTTTTTTTTTGAGACAGTCTTGTTCTGTCGCCCAGGCTGGAGTACAATGTTGCAGTCTCGGCTCACTGCAACCTCCACCTCCTGGGTTCAAACGATTCTCCTCTCTCAGCCTCCCAACCAGCTGAGACTACAGATGTGTGCCACCACACCTGGCTAATGTTTGTATTTTTAGTAGAGATGGGGTTTCACTACGTTGGCCAGGCTGGTCTGGAATTCCTGACCTCAAGTAATCCACCTGCCTCGGCTTCCCAAAGTTCTGCAATTACAGTCATGAGCCACCTCACCAAAAAAAAGAAAAAAAGTCTTAAAGGAGATTTCACTTGACTAAAAGTAGAAGGCCTTTAAAAAAAAAAGGGAGTAAAAGAAAAGAAGAAAAGAAAACACTATATCATGAATATCAGCTTTTAATTAAGCTGACTTCTGACGATAGAGCTCAGAAAAGCTTTTTTCTCTAATTGTAAATCCTAGTCAAGTTGTTTTACTTTCACATCTGCTGTGAGCTGAGCTTCCATCACCAAACAGGCAGCCCACACAAGTGACCATTTCACTGTGTGGTGCTCTCACTACAAAAAGAAATGGTTACCACGTGAGGTGATGGATGTGCTAATTAGCTTTATTATGATAATCATTTCACAGCGCATATATGTGTCAAAACATCACATGGTACACTTTAAATATGTACAATTTTTTTTTTTTTGTCAATTATACCTCAATCCTACTGGGGAAAAATAAAACCTTTAAACACTGAGCACAGTTTAAAACTTTGCAATGACTCTTAACTGACACAAGTTCAATTTCAGTTTTACTTTTCAGAAATAACGTTTATTGCTGGAAAGAGTGATTTAACCTCAATACTACTGAGAGCTCTTGATATTCCCTTTAGGAATCCTAATTTACTACAAGAGTAATTCTCTGATAGAAGGGGATTTAAGAATCTTACGTGGGTGGGAAGGACTATTGTAGTTGAACAAACCCCATTCATAACTCATGAC